ATGAAATCAACTCGGATTACCTGGGCTCGTTCGCCTAGGAGATTAGAAAGTTTCAAAGTTAAAATTTATTTTGAAATCTCTCTGAGGGATAAAACCTTCAAAACTTTATTGTTGACAAAATTTTCAGGTAGAGAATACCCAGGAAAATTGCCTATTCATATTGCAAGGCTAACATTATGTACATAATTTCAATAATAAATAAAATAAACAACTTTACCAAGGACAAGTGAGTCTTTATGGATGACAAGAACAGTAGATTATTTCCTGATTATTTACAAACATGTATTATTACCTTTCGCACTTTAATATTGTGGAAACATATCTATATTTTTATTTATTTCTGTATATTTTCCTCAGAAGAATGATAAAAATGCGTAATACCGCGTGCAACCCCCCTGCTAAGAGACTTGAACTAGTACAATAACTGTATATAACATGAAGTTTCCTGAACAAAATGGCGGAAATTTTAATAAAAAATGTTGATGTTTGATCGTAAAATACAAAAAAAGTGCAGGTTTGTGCGAGTGACAACAAGTGAATTCGAACTCAGCGTATAAAAATCTATAGATTCATGTAAATTTAAAGTAGTGCCCGAAGGGGGGCACAAAAATCGTTTTCTAAACGACTTTTCGGGCCAGGGAATACGGCCTATGTGCTCGAAAGAGTATCTTCAAGCACGATAAAGCCTGAAGCCGATTTGGCTTTAGCCATTTTGGCAAACACGGTTTGTGGACTTTGAGCGAAAATTGTGCTACCGTACCCAGGTCAAGTAGATCCTATCAGAGTAGTCAAGGCAGTCATTGTTCAATTTCCCCAAGCTTCTTGGGCCACAGCAAGTAATTTTTTTCTCAATTTTTCAATTTTTTTATGGAAAAATTTCATGTTGAAAATTTCGAAGCTGCCATGGCGACGTGATCAAGTTCTGCTGCCAATTAAGATAACATGTTCTTGTATATTATTACTCAGTGCGTAATGTCTAAGTACTTTTTAAAACACGCGTAGGAGTGTTTTATCATATTTAAAATGCGAGTGCGCAGCACTCGCATTTTAGATATGATAAAACACGACTACAAGTGTTTTGAATATAGGCCCGTCTCATTAGTATTCTTTATATAAAGAATACAATTAGGATGGACTTTTATATCAAGAATACTAATGACAGTGCCTTTTTTAAGGAATTTTCACTGGGGGGGGGGGGGGGGCAAAACAGGAAAAAAAGGCAGAACGAAAAATATGAGCTGTCGAGGTTTGGCGAACACGTGAGTCTGAAGAGAGATTTTGTAAAACTTTAATTTATTAACTTCACCTATATAAACAATAACTTCAACTCTTTGTAGCTATAATCGTACAACTGTAACAGCTATTGATTTAAATTGAATTGAACCAGTGGCGTAACCAGACCTTAATTCTTTTTTTTGGGGGGGAGCGAACCTCGCCTTAGGAGGGTGAAATCTAGGGTCCCTGAATTGCGATTTCAAGCATTTTAGGAGTGAAATTCCGAAGAGTTCCGAAGATTATAAAGTACGTCGAAGACATGAATTTTTCCAGACATTTCTACTCGGAATTAAATAAATTGGAAAAGTCACCTTGAAAAATAGGAGGAGGGGTCAGTGTCACCTTATTTCCTCTCTGTGATGCTGGGGAGGGGGGGGGGGGAATCCCAATGTGATTTTGATCAGAAATGTTGCATTTAAATCATTTTAGGTTCTATGAGACACCATTTCCGCATTCTCAAAATTGCGTTGCTTTTTCATACGATACAGAATAAATCTGAGAAGAAATATTCATGCTATGATGATGCATACATGTATTTAACAGTTAAAAATCTAAACTAAATCTATTCTTCTTGGAACCAGCATTTTATCGGATTGTTTGCATGAAACCTATCGCTATTATGAAATACTCGGTGAAGAACAATATGTATTACACACAAGATGGCTGTGGAGGAGGCTATGGAAGGGCATAATCTCATTATCAAGTAAATCAACTGCAATTCTGACAGCAATCATGAGCAATTCTGCTTCGCACTTCGGGGGCAGAAATGGCTTTCCTGGGATATATAGTTAAAAAAGGCACTGACTAATGAAGATGGGTTTCATCTGGTATAGATCCCTCTTCACGCGACATATTATGGTTGATAGGATTTGCCAATAAGCTTATGAATTATTAATGATGTTTGAAATATATACACACGCATCAAGGAAAACATATATCTTTTCTTTCAGATAGGCACATAGAGTAAACAAAAAATATCATATCAAGGTTTTTACATAATTAGTTATTTTAAGATCTCGTAGTTGCGAAACCAATTGTGTTGTAAAAAAAGCAGAGATCGAATATTTCTTATAGTTGTCTTGATATTTGTTGAGGCTACATTACTTGGCATTGCAGCTATGAAGTTGGACGATGATTTTATAAAGAATATTAACATTTCAAAACACGCTCAACTGTTAGTGGTTCAGAAGCCTTTTAAAGGATAAAAGCTCTGTGTTGTGACTGTTGTATAAAATAGCTTCAAAAAGTCATTAATATAATTCATGAGGAAAACGCAAAGAAAAATCATAAACGTGTCGTATCTTTATATGCGATAGAGATTTCCTTGGACATACACAAAGAATTTTTTGAAAGTTACTACTCCAATGAACCTACTAGAATTAAGACATTCGCTGTGCGTGTTTTATCAGACCATCTTTGTATAGGATAGACAATGATCACGTGTGTTCAGTGGGATATAGACTCCAGAGAATTAGTTAGACGGAATCCCACTGAACACAAGTGATCATTGTCTATCCGACTTAGAACATGATCACCCCCACGAGGATTGTCTGTTTTAATTAGGTGTATTGTTAACAAATAATTACTATTGTTTCTTTTTAATTATGATGAAGTAGGTTTTTTCGATCGGCCATTAGTTTATTTTGCCAAAAGGATTTTAACTACAATATTTGGTCTTTGTTTGGTTTTCAGCGTTTGATTGATTCGGTTTTAGGGTTCATTAATATGTCAGTAATTGGCATAGGCGTTTTTCGAAAGCATGGACGGGGCTGTCGCAGCGAAGCAACTTGTAGCGATTAATGCGACACAAGTTTTCTTGCTTTCTGGACTATTGGTTAACAAGATTTGTTTTTGGAAGCTAGGAGAGGTGGCAAGCCATAACTGTCATACCCAGCGAACAGTTTATGTAACATTGTTACTGCGGGTTATTCAGACATTTCAAAGACGATCTTATATATGAGGTTTCATTTGAACATCCTGGCAAAGAACGACGCCAATTTTTCATCATTTAGAGCTTTGGATTCAAAGATGAAAGAAATGACAAATGCTGCCATTAGCACGACGAAAAATGTGACAGACAGATCCTTTAACGTTAGCAGACGAAGAACTGTTCTCGTCGTCAGGCACTATACTGGTTACTGAACGATACTCATTTGTTATATCTCGGACTGGCGTGTGTGTGCATGCATGGGAGTGTTGAGTGTGTGTGTGTATTTGTGTGTGTTTGTATTTGTGTAAGGATTGTGTGAAGGTACAGCTGTATTTTTGAGCTTTATATTAAATAAAAGTTTTTGCAGTTAACAATTTGTCTTTGACGCCTTCAAATGTAACTCATTAGTATGCTCTATGTGGTCACTGGTACGCTCTATATAGAGCATACTAATGAAGCTACAGAACAAAAGAAAACAATAGACTCATTAGTATGCTCTATATAGAAGAGTGCTTCAAAGCCCACACCACTTGACGAATTAATATACTATGGGATATAGACCACTGAAATACTGTGTTCTGATTGGTCGAGTGGGTGTGATCATGTTCTAAATTTCGGATAAAACACTGCTGCTCATGTTTTAAATAGTACATAAAATCTCTGCAAATCTCCCTAGTTGCCGAGCAAACGGCATGCATGATGCTAAATATAAATCTCGACTATGATTGGATAATGGGTGACGATGCTAATTACAAAACGTCAATCATCGTTAATGGGCGAAAACTAATTTGTCATAGCCATTTGGGCAGGCGTTTCCTCAAACGACGCCCTTTACTGAACGCCTGCTACGCAGGCTACGTAAAAACCGACGAAGTAGACACGCACGTCTATAGTTTTGAAGTTGACGTATTTCGGCGATTAACGTTACAGAAACCTTTTTTTCTGCACTACACCAGTAGCTAACGATCTGTGTAGCTCAAGAAAAAGGTATCTCGGACATTGCGTCAAAAACTGCCAAATTACATTCGTTTTAATGAAGCCATTTGAAAATTTTTGTTTTCTTCCAGAACTCCTTGTTGTGCACGCTAGGCCTCAGGCCTAAAGTGCATCACACATGTTTCAGCTGCTTCACTGGCGTTTCACCGCCCATTCTTATAGACGCCCTGTCCAAACTGTGCAGCTTGCATGTGAAAATGTTATTTCCCTTCCGCCCAGGGTACAACGAGCATATTGTTTACTTTAACCATTGACAGACAAGTCAAAGGCCCTTTTGCCTTATGTAGCTTGCATGTCTTTCACGTGAACAGTTCATGATAACTTTTATGAACCAATAAAATGCTTCGCGATACTTTCTCCTTCAAAATGAACCAATCGTAACACAGAATATAGCGCAAGCTAATTAGCGCATAACTTGCAAGATTTTTTGCTGATGATATCATTATTACATATTATCATATTTTTTGCTGATGATATCATTATATATATATATATATATATATATATATATATATATATATATATATATATATTCTCTCAAATTTTCTAAATTTTTTCTCAGCATTACCTATACATAATGCCTCGATCCGATAAGAAATCAAAGGAATATTTGCGTTAGTGAAAAACAGCTTCTGCATGGAGGATTTGCTTGCACAAAAGTTGGGTTTTTTCCCTAAATTGAGTTAACTGGACCTCGAACTGTCAGAAAATGCTGGAATTATAAGCGAGTTACCCTATATACTGATTGATAATATACAGTTTGTAGGTACAGTATCCGTGAACAAGTTGTTTACACTTTTTTATAGATCTAAGCAACCTGTGAAGAATCTCCCCAAGTATCATTTTATTCACCACCGTTTGGAGAAAACCAATGTATTGAATGATCAAAATTACATAGAGCAACATGAGACAGCTATTGCTCAGTACGCCTCTATTCCTAAACCAATAGGATCATTACATTACTGGGCTTCGTGATGTTAAACAAGAACTAGTTCGGTATGGTACATTTTATATCGCTACAAATATATGGGTTATAAACACTAGTTTAGTTACATAGCCATAGGGATTACATAGTTGGAACGGCAGCAACCATGCAGATAGATAGATAGATATATATATATATATATATATATATATATATATATATATATATATATATATATATATATATATATATATATATATATATATATATATATATATATATATATATAGATATATATATATAGATATATATAGATATATATAGATATATATAGATAGACAGACAGACAGATAAATGGGTTTATTAAAAATTACATCGCAGCCATAACACATGGCTGAACTACGTAATTTACACATTTAATTAGCAACATTAGATTTGTGACAAGTGGTTTGTGTATTTTATTAACTTTGATTAGTATTAACACATGAAATTATTATTTTTTAAACTAATTTGTCGAACATTGTTCATGTTTTGATCTCGCCTGACCTCGAACCTGAGATCTTGCCTATAGTTTGATTGGGAAGTTGGATTAGCAGTTTTCCATATAAACGCATTTGGAAGGTTGATCCTCTTACAAGGGGAGTAGTAGTGGACTGTTATTTCCAGGTCACACTATAAACAATTTGTTGAAGCCTATTTCCAAAACAAACCCCTTTCCCGAACTCTGCCAAATTTTTGAGATGTTCATGACTGAAAACATCTTGCATAAATTCTGTTTTATACTTTGCCTTAATTAACTGACGTGTAGAAGTCATAATACTCACAACTAATATATAACAATTATTAGTGAAACGAAAAGATAATATTTTGTCGTAACATTTTGCCTACGACCCATTGGGCCGAATATCTGTACATCAAAGAAAGGTAATCCGGCCAACTTTAGTGCGAGTTATCGCGGGTTCGGTATTAAATTAAAGATCCACTTTTTTCACACTGATATAGGCCAGACTTTTAGCTGTCAAATGAAACCATTTTGTTTGCAATTGCGATAAAATTGGCCAAATACGATCCGATTAAAAGTAGCCGGTCGAAATCGCATTTTTCCACCAAGGGCGGAGGTCGGCTATTTTGCGAGTCTGCATCTAGTCGTGCGAGTCTTGTGATTGGACCATTCCCCAATTAACCAAAATTTTGATCTCAACAAGTCTAGACAAAATTCCATCATAGCATGAAAGGGCATCACAAAATTAGTAATATTATTCCAAAGTTTCGTTGCGAAATGTTGTAAAATGCGGATGATATAGCCTTGCGAAATTTGCAATTTTCAGTCATTTTAGATTACAAACGGGAAATGGTTACCACTTTTCCAAAATTTTGATCTTAACTAGCCAAAAGAAAAATTTTATCACAGATTGAAAGAGCATCACAAAATTAGTAATATTCCAAAGTTTCGTTGCAAAAGGGTGGAAAATGCGGATAATATCGCCTTGCGAAGTTTGTAATTTTCAGTCATGTTGTATTACGCACAGAAGTGGTAACCATTTCCCGTTTGTATAATCTAAAGTGACTGAAAATTGCAAACTTCGCAAGGCTATATTATCCGCATTTTACAACATTTTGCAACAAAACTTTGGAATATTACTAATTTTGTGATGCTGTGATGAAATGTTTGTCTAGACTTGTTGAGTTCAAAATTTTGGTTAATTGGGGAATGGTCCATTTTGATTAAATGCAGGTGGTCATCATAGATCTTCGTAAAAGTTGAGTAAATCATTTTGTAAACGCACCGTAATTCAATTTATTGCGAAGGTGTGTGTTTCAAACCAATAAAATATAAATTATTTAAAGATGCTGCAAAGTCCGTTCTGCCCACAACAAAGGGGAACTCGCAGATAATATAGACATTGCTCAAGTTTTGCATGTTTCGAACTTTTTTGAATTGAAACGTCTAGTTTATATTCATTTACAAGCATAGCGAAACAGAAAAGTGTCAGATATTCAGTTATAGAATATCATATTTTACAAATATACCAGTTCAAAATGTAAGCAAAGCAATTTGTTTACATTCGGACTTCACAGCATCTTTAAAGTGTGTGTTGTGCATTGCGAAAATTAGCAGAGATTAGTCAAAGTGTAAATGAAGCAAATCCTCTGACATTTTTCTTTCTGTGGCACGCTCTGGTGCCCCTGCGCGGCGTTTAAAAACACGTCATAAAAACTGAAACTCGTACCGTAACCACGGAAATGAGTTATTAGCTTTAGGCTTCATTTCCATTGTATTCTTTTCTCTTGTAAATTAGTCTACAATTTCTATTGAAATCGCAGCGTTTTTCTTTAATTTAAAAACGAAGGCAATTTTACAACGACAGTTGACACAACACAGTCACAGTATTAATTAAAATGCGTATGTATATGATATAGACATAATATATTTTATAGATCTAGTTCTAGTTATAGTGATTTATAGTGTGTAAATAGACTAAATAATATGATCTTTATAAATTAATACGATACGCATTGACATTGTTGTATTTCCATGTATTACAATGTAACTCTCATCATTTTTCTTAATAATTTCAACTATAAATTTCAAATACATGGTGATATATTCGGTTATTTAATTTATTATATGGCAAGCATTTGTTTTGATGAATTGCGCAATTTGATTGGCTGCTGACGAGGCAGGATTTTCCCGTATTGCCCACGGGCAATACGCAATTTTTATTGCCCTGCGACGAGAGCCGAGTTTCAAACAGCAAAAAGTGTCTAAAAGTCTTTCAAAACTATTCAAAACGAAGAAAAATAAACATAAAATCAAAAAAGGAGCAACTGCGCATGCTGTGGTTAAAGAACTTTCTCAATACGTTTTTGTTAGCGAAAGTCAAAATTACATGGTAAATTTTACAATGTTTATAATAACTATAAAAGCAATCAGGAATAGTTGTGTTTTGACTATGTAGAGCTGCAAATTTTATGTGCAGATAGCCAGGAGGAATTTGACACCATCCTAAATAAAAATACAACTAAAGGAGTAAAGCAGCCACAGATTTATCATTTCCCCCTGAAAATTTCTGTTTTTGTTAGATAAAAAGAGACATAAATATATGAGATGAAGCGAACTAAAAAGTACTTGTTTTTGTAATTTTATTGAATTTTATTGTTTTCATATTTGTTGTCTTTGATTAAATGACGAAATACCTCGTATTTTTCTTGAAATACTATCTAAACTGTGTTAGTATTCTATATAAAAGTGCTGTAGAGTAGTTTTACTAACCAAGAGAACGTTTTTTACAATTGTTTTTTTTTTGCAAACTGTTTCGGACTTTGTACTTTGCCCTCGCGAGACCTTTTCTTCCATTTTTTACAAACGTACAATGCCATATAATAAAAAACTTACTGACCTCAACCGTTCGGGCAGTACGGGAAAACATCCAACCTCGGTCTTGCTGTATTGACCTCGCTATCGCCCGGTCAATACAGCAAGACCTCGGTTGGATATTTTCCCGTACTGCCCTCACTCTCGGTCAGTAAGTTATTAGTATTTTTCGCATAAATCTTCGTTCAGTTCCTTATATAGTCTAGGACCTGTATATGAGTTTGTATGCATTTCATTTAGGACAGATAATCTCAACTGTTTTAGGGCAAGTTGACCATGACGGTCAACATGGTAACGCTGCCCGAACCCCAATCCGGGGCGAAACGTTCGAAACTGACCACACCCAAGAACAACGTTTTCGCCATACTGCTATCTACCAAACCATAAAAGCTTTGGCTATTCTGAGGTGCTTATATGGTTCAGAGATGGTACTTTTGGGGGTGGTCATTGGTATGTGTGAAATGCCTAGCACTAATATTTCACAAGAAAATGGCCATGCAATAATCATAGTTAAATGTCAATTTGTGGCTTGCAAATTCAGATAAACAACAGTGGACTTACATTACCTTTTTCCCTAAATCTTTTTGATAGAAACATAAATGGTACTTATTTAAATATATTATCACTGGTTTGGTGTAAAATAGTAAATATTTTCTGACCGAAATAATAATTTGAAATGTGCCTACCTCCTGCAAATGGACGTATTTGGCCAAGTTCTCCACTTTACTCCGCTGTTTATCGGCGATCTCGTCGACATCCTACAAAAATGTAAATCATCTCAGACATAATGGTATCAAGAACATTTTAAACAAGTTTCAACTGGGTTTCAAGTAGATCATACCTGTTTAACCATCGACAAGGTAAATCCACAACTTTGTCCAAATTCGGCGCCATTTTGTCATCCCATGTCGCTTGTTAACAATTCAGCCTTGTTACTCTTCCATCCAAGCCATTTCCATTCCACTAATAATACATTTAACCCTTTATAACAGGAGGAAACTAAAAAATCTAAACAAAATATAAGAAATACGCCATTTTATCTCCGTTAAAATTCTGCGCACGAGTCTTTCAAAACATTCCGTACAAATATCGCGTGACAAAGTAACAGGGACGTGACAGGAGGGGGTGAATTATTTCACGGAGATAGAAGAAGGCTGCGTGAAATAGACTAAAAGCTATTATTATTAGCTTGACTGCGCTTGCACTGGCACGGACGAGTCCCACATGAGGACGAGTCTCACAAACATACCACATGATTTTAAGACAAAAAATAGTGGATCACATGAACAGTATAGAACATGCCCTTAGACCATATATGAATAGTTCAGTAGATCATTATTTAGCCACAACCAACATGAGAAACAGTGGTGTGTGGGGGACTGATATTGAAATTTTTGCAGCCATTCCCTTTTCAATGTAGATATTTATGTTTATTCACAGTTTGGTAACAATTATAAATGGTCTAAGAAGAAAAAGAACATTGGACACTGAGGCAGCATTACCACCTGGATTTACTTAGACACTACCTGTACCGTTGTATCAGTAAGGGTGCTGTTTTATAGTTGTTCTGTTTAAATTTTTCTGTTCAACACTGTACACTGTACATCGTACAGCTACGGTCATTGATGCAGCATGTACTGTATTGGTTACAGCTTTATACTTATAGCTATCATGTTTAAATTGTCCTGTTCAACACTGTAGATCGGACAGCTACGGTCATTTGATATATTACATTGGGTACAGCTTTATACTTATTATAGTTATCATGTTTAAATTGTTCTGTTTAACACTGCCACAT